ACATCAACCCGCAAGCGGGAAAGTTGTTTTGCTGAAGCTGCTGGCTTTGGCTTTCGCTCAGCTCCGACTTTGTTTTACGGATTTCGGTGCGGATCTGCACTGTCAAGCCTCCAGCCATCTCCAGCCTGTGAGGCCCTTCCGGCAAGCGCCGCGCTTCCTCTGGCTGACTCTTTTGCGCTGGCGTGCTCCCGGCAACATATTGAAGATTACTATGCGTACGATTCGGAGGCCATGTTCTCAGTATCGGCATGAAGCTACAAATGCCAGTGCGAGTTTAGATAAGCAGGTATACACGTATGTGCCCTTGTGACTATGACAGCAAAGGGCCTGTACCAAAGGATGGTGGAGTTTGTTGGCAAAGTTGCAAACGCGACTCCACCAGCATTGACTTGGGAAGAGTTCCGTATGCTTTAATGCCGAGCTAGCTTGAATGTTGCTCGTGCTGCGGCCGGCGGGCACGTCCTGCCGGTCCATGTATTAGCCCGTCAACTAAACACCCACACAATTGGTGACTGAATGAAGAGGGGGCCCCGAACCCTCAGCCGCTAGGCAGAGCTCCTATGTTTTTTTTATAGACACAGGCACCTCGAACCAAATTTGCGGATAGTCCAGATAGAGCAACGCCAGAGAAGTTCGTCAAGCAGCCCCAAGAAAACCCTTCTCCTTGTCCTAGAGTCCTGGAGACCGGCTTCCAGTGCAGGTTCAGGTTCCGGTATAGCTCGCCAGAGCAGGAGCCTGAAGGTGCCGAGCTGACCCCAAACACCTCATGGCGAGGATGATTGTAGCAGCTGCGCCGGAGAAGCCCGAGGAGCTCGGAGCTTGGAAGAGAGCTTTGAATCATTCATGACCTATATGACACTAGTGGTTTTGTAAGCTCATCGCTATCAAAGTTGGTATGATAATACCCCTCATCGTCTGCCCCTAAATCTGTGCGGATTCCGGCATTAAAGTCTCGGGACAGCTGTTCTTTGCAGGGGAGGTCTTGGGTGTTCAGGATGCTCGGTTCTACTGATTCTACCGGGATGCTGGCAGCCTCGGTGCTCCAAGAAAGCGACTCCAGTGATTTGCTCGCTTGGTGATGCTGCTACTTTGTGTTGAGTGCATCTCGACGGTGTGACGCGAAGCTGCCATCCAAAGCTGTCCAAATCGAGATGAGCCATCCCACCTCTGGAGGATCATGGAAAGAACTGCTACTAGTATGGTGGAGGAGAGTCGACTGCGCCACCCGGAGTGGACAAGGTTTTGCAGCAGCATTCTGCAGTCCAAAAGTCCGATCGCGCGAAAGAATGCCGAGGCTTTCGCGCATCTCCGAGAAGGCCCTGGATGTCAGAAGACTTCTGGCACTCGTCGGGCCCTCGACATTAGGCTTCTGCAGGAATGTAGGCACTGTATTGGGGTCTTGCTTGCAATCTAGTAGTGGCGATGATGCCGAGAGAGGATGGCAACAGCCGTGAGGCGGTAGTGTAAGATCAGTAAGAACAGCATGAGACTCAGGCACAGAGTGAGCGGGAAGGACAACCATGGCAGCATAGTAGCACATAACATAGCAGGGGCCACGAGTTTAACAGAATTGGTTGCATTCATAATCGCAAGTCGTATTACTTCCGGCACTGTATGACTGCACGTGCACTTCAGGTTGAGCTTAAACTTAAGGGGCGGCCAGTGCTTTGGACAGTTGTGAGATTTGTTTCAAAGCCCTCCTCCAGGTGGACAGGTGAGACTCTTCTAGACCCAGCACCGCAGAGGACTGTAGGCTTTCCATGACATCCTGAAGCCCATGACGGACCACCCCCCCCCTCAGGCAAGTTTGAATGCCTGAAGCCGAACGTTCTGCAAACCAAGGCCTGCCAGCTGAGAGACTTCGCAGCACAAACATCCTGGAGTTGGCCTCAGTGTATAGGAGCCAAGTTGTGTCTTCGAGCTGCAATGGAGGAACTTAAAGAAGCGCTTGACCATTTTGAGCTACTCGGAATGTGACTGCCGAATGCCAGCCGCAGTTCGGGTCGGACTGTCAGCATTAGTAGAATGTTCTAGTGATTCTAGTGAGTGTTGCGGTTGAGGTAGGGCATGTTGGCTTGGAATTAGGGTTGAGGCTTGCTTCTAAGGTCCTGTTCTGCATTAGTTTGGAAGCGCCCACTCCAAAGTTGGCTTGTCGTAATGGGGATATAGCTTCTTCCAGTTGCCACATCGACCAATCTCCTGCCTTTGTTTGTGTGGTAATTGCGAGGTTTAGTAAGCACTGCTTTTGAATCCTGGGAGATCCCATCGCAGGCGCCCCCCATAGCCAAATGCAAAGGCGGTGTCCCTGCAGCGATGAAGCCATAGATGTAAGGGTCCTTCTAACTTAAGTCGTACCATGCTGTTCGGTATGGCTGTTATGCATGCTGATCTTGCTGTTGCGTGTGTAGCGTAGTCACAGTCGTATTCCTAATCGTTGTCGACGTTGTGGTACTCACAGCCCGAAGCAAAGCAGCCTTTCGTTGCTGTTGTCCGAAGGCAGTCCGGCGGAGCCCGGTCATCTGGGCCTGTCATCAGCCCTTCACTCGGTTTCTTTTCTGTCCTGTCGGCCTTTGCCACTGGATGGGCGTCGCGTTTTTTCCCGAGATGGTTTCGGGTGTTGGGGCTCCGGATAGGTTGGCGATGCTGCCTTTGTTGCATATGACCCGCTGCCGTCTCAAGAGATGCCTAAAACTGCCTGAAATCCTTCAGCCACTCAGGCAACGGCTTCCCGCAGCCTCCCCCTGCGTGCTACCCCAGCGTGTCAGGCAGAGAGCTGCCAGAGTTCTCCAACCTTACAGTGCTGAGTTCGCAGGAATACATGCGGTCAGACAGGGCAACTGCAGAAAGAGTGCACCTTCTAGACACTAAGCCCCCATGAACATGTGTTGTAAGTAGCAGGCACTAGCTGCAGCATGACGGACCTAAGTGCGAGGCCTTTTTTTGAGCAGCTTGGTGTGTGAGCATTGCCCTTGTAGCGGTAAGAAATAAGGTCGTTCTTGCTGAACTGGTAATGTTTAGCATCAGCCCCTTTGCTAAACAGAGCCTTGTGTAAAAAGCCACACTCACAAGTCCGGGCCCTCAACTTGGGAACCTAGAGCTCGAAGCTGACGGAGAAGACCCTTAGGATTAGGGCCGTGCTTTGAGATGATGAAGGCTCAGAAACACGAGCATTCAGCAAATCCGTTGCGACAGGCATGCCACGACCGCCACTGGCGAGACCAAAGGAGAGCAAGCTTTATCGACATTTGTTGAGGTTCGGGACAGATTTGGCATCTAGTACGTTCTGGTGTTGAGGTAACTTTCGAAAGCAGCTGCATTGATACAGGGGGAGCAAGAACAGATAGTACAGCTGTGCAACTACACACATTTGCTCGGCTCCAAAGTAAGCTCCAGTTGGATCTCTACCCCAGGCAAACCCCACGTCCACAGTCCTGCAACTTGGCAGGACCGTCGCTACACCATGGGTGAGTCCCTGGGTGGTGACGTCGTTGGCCAAGCACTAGGCCGGAACAACCTTCGAGATTTATTGTAGCTTCCCAAGGTTTGTCGGTTAGTAGGGGGCTGTACATTCAGGCACGACACCAAGTACTCGGGCCGGTCAAGAGGTGCCTAGTTTCCATCGCCAGCTGTGTTTCCGGTGCAGCACTGTAACCTATGCCCGGGGTCTTGGGAAAAGAAAGCCAACGTTGGAGGGTTCTGAGATCCTGATCTTGAGCAAGGGCGGTCCGCTGAGCAAAAGAAGCCGCGAAATACTCGATAGCAAGCTGTTGGCATCTCAGCATCTCCTGGGGCTGCCTGCTCGCAAGATGCCACCAGAAGATATTCAATTGCCCAAGTCCCAAGTAGCCATGATGCAGCACCGAAAGTTTTAACCACAGCTCCTCGAAGCCTCAGTCCCGAGATGGCGAGTCCCAGGCCCTAAACTCCAAGACCCAAAATCTCATCGGAACAGGCCTCGCCTGGAATTGTCGGAGTTGAGAGGGCCGAAACCTCGGAGGACCCTAGAGCCCGAAGCCCCTAGAAACCCCACCCCCACCCGAACACCCGAAGACATGTACCTTCCCTAAACTCGAAGCCCCACACCCTCTGTGAAGTCCAGGCTGGGCCGCCTCACGCTTGTCAGGGGCCTTTGACGGGGTCTTCGCGAACGGCAGCGAGCATCGCGATGAGAGGTGCGCGAACTGAGTTCTCGTGGATGGATTGGTTTGGGGCCGTGCTTGAGTCAGCAGTAGGGTTCTGTTCGAGGTTCCTGCGTCTGCGATAGAAATGGGAAGGGGTTTCATGGGACTAGAGACTGATTGGAGAGCTTTCCTGGAACATTCCTCGGGGGGGTTCTAAACGAAAGTTCGCTCCAAGAGATCTGACCAGTGGGACCTTATTCCAGGGTTTTAAGAGTTTAGGATTGGGACAGCCGTCGTGTCTTCAGGCCTTATGATAGGGTTCAGGGTTTGTTCTGTAGCAGATACTCCCTTGTATGACCGAGCTGAGAGAGAGAGAGAGAGAGTAGCCATTTTGGCTCAAGGCCGTGAGTGCTCAAGACCTTGCTGCATCTCTCCGCCCTTGGGGTTCGTGAGCCTCGCTCTTTCTTCTCTTTCCTCCCCTTGCTTTGAGGGCAGCAGGTCTCAACCCGGGGGCTTGCCGCCTTGCTCCGCCCCTCCGACTGCCATCAGCGACGGGGGTGAGACCGTGAAGGGTGCGCTCCTCATCGCGCGGGTCCTGCGGGCGAACATAGTCGAGTTCGGACCCGGACGTGATCGGCGGCCTTTGAGGGGGACTAGGGGGAGTTTCACACCGGCTACAGGACCGAGATCGGCGACCCTACTCAGGGGCTACCTCCGCACCGCGATTCGGGACGGGGAGTACCTCGAACGGGGATTACCTCGACTACCTGTTTGAGCTAGTGGCAAGAAGGGCGACCTGGTGATCTTTGCACTACGTGGAGAACGATGACAGACCCCATGCAAATGGAAGGGGCTGGAAAGAAGAGGGGGGCGCCCGAGGAAGAACGCCTCAGCCTAGAGGCCATCCGGGAAGTGGTGCGCGGGGAGATTGGGATCAGCACCGCCACCCTGCGCACGGAAATCGGGGCCCGCATGGACCGAGTGGAGACGGGGGTCACAGCGAGGCTCGAGCAGACCTTGGAGCGCCTCGCAGCCATCAACGACCAACAGCGAGACCAACAGCGGACGGTCGAGGCAATCCAGGGGGAGCAGAACAACATGAACGCCCGCCTCATGACCCTCGAGGCCAAAATGCAGTCACTGCAACAGCAGTCCGTGACTGGCAGCACCACAGATACAGACAACTGGGGGCGCAAGCCAGCGCTCATCATGGGCGGGTGGGGAGACGACACCCCGGCCGACGAAACCATGAGAGGGGTGGTCCAGATGATCAAGGACCTCCGCGTGGATGTGGACACAGATCAAGCATTCGTGCCGGGGGTGCGCAGGGGCTACGCCATCCTTCCTTATGGGCCCCGAGAAGGCGAGAACCCGCAAGAGCTGCGGGAGCGACTTTCACAAGCCCTGCGCCGTGTGCGCCAAGCCAACATCGCGATGGGGACCAATGCGGAGGGCAAAACCAAGTACCTTTGGATGCAGCTGTCTCAGTCGCCGGAGCGCAGACGACGGGTACAGCTGGCGGGGAAATGCAAGCGACTATGCCTCAGCTTCGGAGCCACGTTGAGCCAGATTGAAACTGAGTGGCCGACAGGGACGGTGTGGTTCAAGGGGACGAGGGTGTGCTCAGCTACGACGACAAGGCCGGGGGAAGCAGAAGAAGCAGGCGCCGGCTGGATCAACCTCAAAGCCATCGCAAGGGGGCTTGCCCAGCCGCAGAAGGACGTCGACGCCGAATGGGGGACGTTGCGCTCAGCTCTCCGCTGAGGCACAGAACCGACGGAGAGCGCTGACGAGCAGGGGGACACAGACCCCCAGTTTCACGAACTGCGTGCCAAACCCCTGAAGGGGGGCAAAGAGGCACCCTTGACAGTGGCCACCTGGAACGTGGGCGGCCTCTCCGCTGCCAACGCACTGGAGATGCTGCAGGCGCTCGGGGGAAACAATGAGCTCTCCCGCGTGCAAGTCTTTCTGTTGCAAGAGATTATTACTGATGAGGGGAGGTTTTTCGCGGCGAACCGGACATGGACGCTTGCATTCGGCAAAGCAGAGGGGGAGTGGAGAGGAGAGGGGGTTGCCTGGCACACCACCTTAGGGAAGCACGCTGGCACGCTGGTTATGGAAGGGGGAGTGGCGCTTACACTCACCACCGCCGAAGGGAACAAGTGGGGGCTGCTTAGCGCCCACGTACCACACCATGCCACATTGGCCCGGACAGAGACACTTATGAGCGGATGGGAAGATGCCGGGGCACTCAAGCAGCGCAGGGTGCTTGTGGGAGTGGACGCCAACGAGCAGTTCACACCAAGCCAACACACAGGGGGGGGACAACAAGCACAGGGGCACAATAGCAGAGCAGAGGCAATTCTTGCCTGGAAGCAGAGGCATGGACTGAGGCTGCCACCGCAGGAACTGCACAGAGCCACGCATTACCCCTATGCCACGGACCTGCAGCCGAGACGACTTGACTACGTCCTGCTCAAGGGGTGCTTCTCCTTGGAGGGGACGGTGGGAGATGCAAGGGACATTGCCAGGTCCGACCATGAGCCCGTGATCGTGCAGCTCCGAACCCAGGTCCCTAAAGGCAATCACCACAAAACATCCTGCGGGCCCAGGCACATAACGATCAAGGACCCCAAGGAAAGGAAAGCAATCCTTAACGCCACGGCCCAAGCGAAGCCAGGGGATCGCCACCACCAGATCTCCGAGATGAGCCAGCTTCTCACCACAGCAGGCAGGGGGGACGTGCGCAAGTTCCAGGAGAGCAAAGCACTGAAGCAAGCAAGGAGAGACGCACACCAGGTGCCACCGGGGCAAGACAGAAGGCAAGCATGGAAAGCAGTCCACAAGCAGCTCAAAGGGGAGCATAAACAATGGAAGCAGCACATGACAGCCCTTGCCAGCCAACACGACTGGCCGGCTTACAGGCAGCACAAGCGCAGCACGCAGATGGGGGACATGTGGGTGGCAACGCTCACGGACAACCACGATTGGCAGGGGGCCCTGCTAGCACATTTCCAGAGCATCTTCAACAAAGCAGACGGGGGGGTGAGAGATGCGGACTTCGCAGAACGGAGGGGGCGACTCACCAGAGCATGCAAGCACACGAGGTGGGTGCCCTTCACGCAAGATGAACTCATGGCGGTGTCCGCAAGGTGGAAGAACAACAAGTGCACGGGGCCCGACCTCATCGCACACGAGGCCCTTCACATCCTCAAACAGCACCCGGTGTGGGAGCACAGACTGCGGCAGATGCTCAACGACGCACTCTACGAAGGGGGGTTGCCGGCTGCGGCTGAGAAGGGGATGACGGTACTGCTCCCCAAAGAAGCCATGCCCAAGCACTGGGGGGAGACGAGGCCCATCACTTTGAGCAGCACGATCCTCAAAGCCGTCGCACAACTGCTGCTGCGAAGGTGCACATACACTCTCCAGCCCCTCAACACGCTCCAGTGGGCAGCCCCTCGGAAACAGGGGACGGAGCTCATCCTTACCCTCAGGAAGGTGGCCAGAATGGCGCGAGACTGGGGGGGACACTTCTGGATCATCAAACTCGACCTGCAGAAGGCTTTTGACTCGGTGGCGCAGACCAGCCTCGCAGCCCTGGTCGAAGAGCGGGTGGGGCCAAACCACCCGTGGGAAGCAAGACTGTGGCTTGCACTGCTGCAGGCCAGGGAGCTTGTGCTGGGGGTGGGGGGAGAAGAGGTGGCGGTGCAGCAAACAAATGGGGTGCGCCAAGGATCACCGGACTCCCCGGTGCTCTTCTCGGCACGGGTGGGGGAATGCTTGCAGAACACCCTCTGCCAGACGCAGCAACAGCCCCGCGGGGGAGAGAACCCCACGCTACCACCGCCACCGCACCACGGGGGATCCTTCATGGATGACACGTACCTGTGGGGGGAAAACCCACAGCACCTACAGGCTACGCTTCAGAAACTGGAAGCCGCATTCAAACAGCATGGCCTCAAGATCAACCCCAAGAAAACCAGGATTATCGCCAGCACAGATCACCCCTTTGTCTTCAAGATTGACGGCCAGAGGGTGCAAGCAGAGAGGGGGGAAGCAGCACTCACCGTGCTGGGATCGCCGGTCAGCTTTGCAGGGGGACCACAGCACCTAGCGGCAGAGATGGGGGCGAGAGCCAGGAGATCGTTCGGCAAGAACAAGCCCCTCCTGGTAGCCAAGACAGCACTGAAGCAAAGGCTCCAGCTCCACAACACGCTGGTACGCCAGAGCGCGCTATGGGCGTGCGAGACGTGGCCCGTGCATGACACGCTGCTCCGTGCGGCCAACACGCAACAACTGCAGCATGCGCGGGCAATGGTGGGGGGGGCGCGCACACCGGGGGAGGCCTGGGCTGACTGGAACACACGTACTATGAGGATGGCTCGCACGCACCTGTTCAAGAACAAGATCGAAAGATGGTCCACCTACATTCTCCGGATGATCTGGGGAGTCTGGGGGCACGTTGCGAGGGGGGGACAAGCCACCTTGGAGATGCTGCAATGGAGGGGGATTGCGTGGTGGTGGCAGCAGCAAGCGCTCCACAAGTCCGTGGGGGCCAGACACGCAGGGAGGTTCAACAGTGGGCTCGACACAGAGAGGCACATCATCACGATAGCGGGGACGAACTGGGTGGCAGCAGCAGCGGACAGGATCCACTGGAACAACCTCCAAGACAAGTTTGTTCAAGCCTTTGACCCCCCGTGGTGTAGTGGCAAGCAAGCCCGGCTCCTGAACCTGGCCCCAACACGACAACAATACCATAACAGACCCAAAGCAATGCGCAACCGCAGGAAAGGGGGGGGCAAGACCGGAAACTGCAGAGCGTTGAATGACGGCTGACAGCCGGATAAACTGGATGCAGTGGGGGGACCACGTGCCGTTTGCACCAAAGCCCCCGATCATACGCCATCCCGCGCAACACAACACAGCCAGCAACCAACACAACTCAGCCACCATTGCTTCACCAGCCAGACAGAGGGGGAGAGAGACAGAGGGAGGACATTTGAGCCAGATGCATGACGGTCTGTTCTTTCCGCATGTCACATCTCAGTTCGGTTGCTGCACCTTCCAGTGCCCAGAAGCAGATGCCAGCAGCACCGTGGCCCGAGCCTCAGACAACGCCACAACATGGCCCACGCCGCAGCACGGACGCCGCTCTGCCCGAGGGCTGACCCACGCCAAGGCGGGGGGAAGGCCGCATGGACAGCGCTGCTGCTCATGACAGTCGGGGGGACGCTGGCGGTGCGAGAAGCAGAAAGAGCTCCAGCCACGAGACTGGGGGAACCGTGGCGAAGGGAAAGCACCACGACTACCACGTCGCCGCCGCCACCGCCGCCTCCACCGGAAAGCCTTACACAGAACTGGCCGAGGGGGACGACGTGGATCTTCAGAGAGGGGACCTGGTTGCCTAGACTACCGGAAGGCCTCTTGGAAGATGACGAGTGGGTGCCGCCGCACCTAGACGCAGGGCAAGAAGAAGTGCCGCAACCGCAGACGGGGGACTACGAGACGCCAGAGCACGTGCAGCCTCAGCCGCAGACGAGCTCGCAGAGGGGGGAAGCAGACCCCCACCTCCAACCGCCGTTGCAGACAGCAGGCAAGCCGTATGGGCCATGGACGCTCCGTTACCCAGCGCCCTACGACCCAGCCAGCGACCCATGGAACCAAGACGAGACGACTCAGCAGACGCAGCAGGGGGACGAACCGGATCCTCACCCAGAAGCGGGCACAGAAGGCCAGACAGAGGCGCAAAGCAGCACGGCAGCAGCAGAAGGGAAGAGTCCACAAGACGAGGGGACAGCAGGAGGAGACCAGACAGCGGAACCGACACAACCACCGCACCAAGCCAAAAAGAAGAAGAGGACGAGCCGACCCAGACCGCACCCAGAGCGACCGCAACACGACCCCACGCAGGAGGGGGATGAGCCGCCAGCAGCCAGAGCGAAAGGGGAGGAAGCAACAGCAGCTGAAGAGAGGGGGGCGACAGCCAACCAAGCCAACAGTGACACGACAGCAGAAGGACGCGACCACACACCAGCGCAGCCACACCCAAAGCAAGCGCAGAACACCCAAGAGGAAGCCAGCAGCGGGTGTCAGACAACAGCCAACCAAGCCAGCAGTGACACAACAGCAGAAGGACCCCACACACCAGCGCAGCCGCAGCAAGCCCAGTCGCGGAACACCCAGGAGGAAGCCAGCGAGACATGCGCGGTGACGCCGCAGGAGGGGGGAAACGCTGCGAACACGCAGCAAGTCCAGGAACTGGAGGAGGACCAGACGCCCGGGGGGACCGGCCCCGCCCCACCGTACCACGAGGGACAGGGGGATCAACGGAGGGGGAATAAGCACACCAAAGCAGCAATACGAGCCGAATTCAAGAGGCAAGGCATTGAGAAGCCGGCGCACTTGTCCTGGAACGAGGCGGCACCTATGGTGGGGATGACCCCCTACACGGACGAGGACCAGACAGAAGCAACAACCCAGGACACCCAATACCAGCCTAGGGGGGCAAGCAGCAGCGCCGACCCACTGCCAGGAAGCAAAGAAGAGACAGAGGCCAAAGCGAGACACGAACGAGACATGGCGCAATTCGCTGAGGTGCTCGACCTACACCAGAAGCCTCGCCAACCGCATGCAGGCATACATGCCAGAGCGGGGAGCAGCAACGACCCGCCACCGCAGCAGGCAGCCGCAGCAGCTAAGCCAGAGAAGGGCGTCAAACCAGCCGCCGGGGGAACAGCAAACCCGCCGCCAGCGCAGCCACAGGAGGAAGAGCAAGCACAGCAACCAGCCGCCGGACAACCGCAGCTTGAAGGAGCGGAAGCTATCGCCCCCAGAACAGGCATCGAGGCAGCAGAGGGGACCAAGGAGGCCACAGCAGCCAAGACACGGCACGAGCATGACTCCCGACACAACGACCAGCTACCGCAGCAAAGCAGACCAAGGCGCATACCTCCAAGAGGGGGAGAGCAGAGGGTGATGAGATCCTTCCCGCTCGACTCTCCAGTGCAGTGGTACACGGGGAGGAGCGTGTACATGGCGTCAATGGGGGGATACCTGCCTCCGGCCCCTCTTCCGCCGGAGCTGCCTATCAGCAGCCTGGCCTTCGCGCACTACAGGTACCTGGGGCACGGAAGCTGGTGCGTCATGATCCTCTCGCGCACCTCCCTGACTACACCAAGCTATGAAAGAGTCAAACTGAGGGGGTTTGCGAGGATCCGGCAGCAGAGCAAACATGGCCATGACGGGGACGTTCTCTCGATTGGCCTCCAAGGGGAACTACACCCACTCAGCGGGGGGGTCATGTGGCATATGTTCGTCAGAGCCCAGCCGCGACAGCGAGAGCCGGGCAGCAGCCACTTCCCCCCGGGCCACTACCGGATGCACTGGCACCCAGAAGGCCAGTACTGGAGCTTCAGCGACATGGACCCGGACGACGGGGAGATACTCCAGAGGAGCCGCAAGCAGCAGCTGCAATTACCTGACATGTCAGCGCACATGCAAGAGCACGAGCTCGCCCAGCTCCAGCTTGACGAGGGGACAGTCGCCACCATACGGGGGCTCAGATACAGGCTGCAAGTGCACGAGGAGGACCCAGTAGCACCACGAGCACACAGAGCAGAGGCCCTGACCAGAAGCCACGAACCAGGGGGGGTCCCACTGACCTTCCCACCGGATGAGATCTACGGGGACAGGGCGCACCACCCGTGGGCACAGCAAGTTCTGCAACCGGGGGAGCTTGAGCAAGAGACAGATGGGGCAACCAGCTCGTCGGCCTCCACAGTAACCTACAGCCTAACAACCACAGAAGAAGAGGAAGCCGAACAGCAGCCACCGCAGAGGCACGAGCCAGCAGCTGAAGGGGGGAGCGCGGCAAAACCGGCGCAGACACAAAGGCCACATACACGAGCAGCGGTGGCGACGGGGGACAGCTCCTCCTCGGGCAACTCTATGCGCTACGAAAGCAGACAGCCTGACGAAGGGGGGGAGCCCGAGCCAGTTGCACAGCAACCGCAGAGGACGCAGCAGCCAGTGGGATACTCCTACTACTCGCTTGAGGCCAGGGCGGACTTCATGCCTAACAGCCACCATGCACAGCAACAGCCAGCCGCAACACCGAAACGACCGCCCCCGCAGCCTCCAAGCGACTCTGAAAGCAGCTGGCCGAGTGAAGACCCACCACAGGAGCCCCCTGAGCACAGCTCCCTTATGCAGACAAGCAAGCACGAGAGCAGACCAGAGCCGGCCACCGCCACCAACGCCACCGCGAGCATGCGAGCACGAGAGCAAGCAGTGGACTCGGCCGAAGCAGAAACAGTGCCATGGCTCGCACCACCTTATGCGGAAGACCTTGACAGACAAGCCCCGGCAGCCACAGCCCCAGCAGAATGCGACAGCACCCTCCCAGAAGGGGACCAGCCGGGCACCACCACGGAGGAGGAAATGTGGGGGACAACGAGAAGGAGGGGACGAGAGAAGACCGAGCAAGACAAGAGAACAAGGCGGAGGATGACAACCAGCAGTGGCGGCAAGGGGGAGGCAAGCGACCGACCGGACAACAACATGAGCACACCGAGCCCCCTAAAAAAAGCACGCAGCCAAGCGTCGCAGCTGCTGCGGAGCCAGACAGAGGAGACTATGGCAGCATGGGAACAAGCCACAACACCGACGAGCGGGGGGACGCCAAGCCAAAGGGTGCAAGCAACAATCGATGCGGCAGCTGAGCACATACGACTCGCAGAGCAGCTCGCAAGAAGCCTTGAGCTGCAGGGGGTTGTAGCGTACCTGGGGGCCGCGACAACACAACTCCAGCTCAACGAGCCGGGGGGACTTGCACGTCCGCAGCAAGCCCTTCCGAGCCCAAACGCCTTCCAGACAGCAGCCGTGATTGCAGGGGTCATGGCGGACAGGGCGAGCCAAGGTGACGTGCCCGAGGGGACGGTGGAGCTGCTCGAACTGCAGGAGCTGGTACAGGCAGGCCAAGCTCTCCTCCTTGGGGGGCGACGGTCACAAAACTGGACCCGGACGCACCACGCCACAGACGCAGCAGACGACGCCGAGGCACTGCTCTTCGCAACGATCAAGGCGGGGGGCATGGGGGACTTGGCAGAGACCACGCTTGGCACGCTGCAGAACCTGCTCAACGCGGCGGCCGACGGGGTTAACGTGCTCGTGGGCAACTACCCGCACAGAGGGGAAGCCGAAACAATACCAGCGCACCCGGCGGACGCACTGCAGCTCGCGAGGGGGGCGCCAGAAGCCCGACAAAGAAGGGAGACGGAGGCGGACGCAGTGCACGTCTACAAGGCGAAGAAGCTGTTGCGAGAGCTGTTGCCTTTCCTGTCGGGGGAAGTGCGGGGACAAGTCGACCGTGCACTACAACACCTGGTGCAATGGACTACGCAACACTGGGGGAGCGACGTTGAGCTAGTGGAAGACACGGGAACAGTTGGGGGAGCGGCCAGTTCCTCAGCACCTACTACCACCGCCGCCGGGGGACCAACTACTACAACCGCTGACGGGGGACCAGCCAGAGCTGAGGGGAGCGGAAGTGAGCGCAACCGACGCAACCTAGACAGCCCCAGCTCCCTTGACAATGATGACTAGGGTTCGGGGGCTCCTGTTCGTGTGGGGGTTCTTGGGGGTGCAACAAAAGGGGGAGCTGGGACTGCAGTGCGGCAAGGCTGGAGACCCGTAACGCATCTAGGGGTAGGCTTGCTGCTCCGGTCTTGTCTCCTTCCGAAGTGCTAAAGCCTCATAAAACGGGGGGGCCCCAATTAGGAAAGACCGAGTTGAGTGAAGCCTGGGGGCCGTCATGCATTTAGGAGTAGTGATGTTCG